AGATAAGAAAGGCGATGACGCATGGCTTAATATGAATTTAGTTCTTCATGTGTAGTAGTGATTTGGTGAGTATTGGCCATTATTCTCTCTTTTTTCTCACTGTAACTAGTTATGATAGGAAACTGTTGTGGTGAATATTTAATTAAACAGACTAGTGATATAGAGGGTAGATAACAGCCCAGCCAAAGAGATATAATGGGTTGCAAGGGTTTCTAGGATGTCTATCATGTCACTTTACGATAGGTTGTCAATGGCTTGTCAAGTCTCGATGGCTTTTGCAGCTAAGGTTGGCTTTGTTTCCTTGCCCAGTCTGCAAACTGTGAAGTGTGTCTGCAGTTAGAAGATTTCTTGGTGAGGTTTGCTTACATCCAGAAGAATATTTTGACTAAGAATTTGCATCTGAGGGTACCTTACCTGCAAAACTGACGGGTAGCTTCAAGAATAGAAGTGTACAACAGCAAATTGATGAAATACAGAACTATGAAGAAAAAAAGATCGAGTAGAAGCTGCTGCTTGCAAGTTCTTAACCTGCAGGCCAACTTTTGCCCGGTGAAACAAACCAGGCCTTTCTTACATAATTTATGCATTTTTTACACCATCATATTTAATACTTTTTTTTCTTTGTGGCATACAACATGATCATCATCTCATGTATGTGGTTACCCTTGTATCATTTTGGGCTGCAGGTTGCTATAATGAAACGAGTTCGCCATCCAAATGTTGTACTATTCATGGGAGCTGTCACAAAACAACCATATTTGTCAATAGTGACCGAGTATCTGCCTAGGTATCCCCATGTAATATTGCTTAATATTCAGAAGGAACAGAAATTCGGTCTTAAGTTTGATTATTTAGTGTTATTTTTTAAAATTGTATGCTTGAAAACAGGGGAAGTCTTTACCGTCTCATAAACAGAACTGCTGCTGGGGAAATTTTGGACAGGCGGCGTCGGTTGCGGATGGCCCTTGATGTGGTTTGTTACTTTGCTTGGTACTTAAAAAGGCAAAAAAGTTGACCATGATTTGCAGTTCATGATTCGTAAGTAAATTACAGGCCAAAGGTGTCAATTATCTTCATTGTCTAAATCCACCTATTGTGCATTGGGATCTGAAGACTCCTAATCTTTTGGTAGACAAGAATTGGTCAGTGAAGGTAAGTTAGACCGCTTGTTGATTGTTTTGCCTATTTTTAACTGATAGTGATGCTTTTGTTGAGCTTTTGGCTATAGGTTTGTGATTTTGGGTTATCGAGATTCAAGGCTAATACTTACATATCATCAAAATCTGTTGCAGGAACAGTAAGCATTCATTTTCCTTTAACTTCTACTCACTCATTAAGTAGTCATTAACATGTATTATAAGAATGATAGAAATATATCATATAATTCTGTAGGAATTCCAATACATATTGCTTCATATGGCATTATGTTCTCTTTTGTTTCATGGCTAGTGTTTTCTACATGGCTGCTGCTTTAAGAATCGACATTACATTCTTCGTAGTATCTATGGTATTGGTCCATCCCAATGTTGGATGATAAAGTGGATGAGATGATACGTTAATGGGGATCCATATGGTAAATCAGTTTGCTAGCATTATACCCTAATTTGTAGAAATTTAATGTCAGTGCTGCAGTCAATTGGCAAGTCAATATCAAAGAAGGAATAAGTTACCTTTGGATTGGTGTACCAGCTATATACATTTTGTTTTCAGCTTTTGTGATGGGAGATGTTGACTTACGAATTTAGTTTTGATACACCGAGTTAGAAAGCATATCTTCTAGAAATTGACTTTCGATATTGGCAACTGTGAAAATGTAGCATCATTCTTTGGTATTATCAGTACAGTCAGCATGCTAGTATCATCAGTACAGTCAGCATACTACCTTTTCGTTTTGCAGCCTGAGTGGATGGCTCCAGAATTTCTTCGTGGAGAACCATCAAATGAAAAATGTGATGTTTACAGCTTCGGGGTGATCTTATGGGAGCTATTAACAATGCAACAACCTTGGAGTGGGCTTAACCCTGCGCAGGTGGTTATTGTAGTAGTTTTTCTTCTTCGAGGAACTATTTTTGCTTATTTACAGTAATGTTTTTTTTTTGTTGTAAATTTACACCACTAGTTAGACAAGTTTCCACAACTTGTTTTAGGTGGTATTCTTTTTAGTTCCACACAGAATGTTCATGGTATATGAAGGTCTGACGGGGGATATGTGCAGGTTGTCGGAGCAGTTGCCTTTCAGAATAGAAGGCTGGCAATTCCTCAAGATACTTGTCCCATGTTAGCAGCTCTCATGGAATCATGCTGGGCTGAGTAAGTACATTATTCTTGTGATGTTTATCAAGAATCAGCATCCATCAATAGCATTTCTTGAAATGGATGAGATGGTTCAACACCTAGGTGCACAAATAAAGTAGTATCTTTCTGGAGTTTATGATAACAGCTTGTGCAGTTGTTGGCCTTTTTCTCTTTGAGAGACATGATGATTTCCAAACCGAGAAACTTGTTGCCTGTAGGTCGCCAACGAGCTGTTCTATGGTTGGTTGGAGTTGAGTTTGTGGCAGATGAAACTTCATACTGCAAACTCATTTGTATCACCATCCGAGTGATACTCGTTTAAGTTCAACCTTGGGCTAGAAGTTCTCATGAATTCTAGGAACTAGTCACTATTGATGATTATATATATCTTAGGTATCTTATATTCTCTTGGAGTCTTCAAGTGGTCATCCGTAGGCAGCTTTATAGGTTTCTTAATTTACATTTGCTTCTACTGGCTGAACCTTATCTATTTCGTCCTTTGACATGTAATCCGTGTGACGTTGGATTACTGTCGTTGCAGCAGTAGCAGTAACATATTGTTTCTTCTCATGTAGTGATCCAAGACAGCGGCCTTCCTTTTCGAACATCGTTGATACGTTGAAGAAGCTACTGAAACCACCTGTGCCACTGGAACAGATGGCCAGCCCATAGCCTGCTTGCCTGCCTGTCTGTCTGCCTCTGCCAGCATGCGATGCTATTATTCTTTTCTCGATCCATCCACAAGTAAATCGCGTGAGCCCTACCGAGCTTATATTATTTTCACTTACAATGTGTAAAATATGCCGCAATAATGTGCTTCGTTTTGTCGCTAATATGTTCCTCTCGATGAACACGGCTATACCATGTGGTTACATCATTAGCAAGTCGCATTATGCCCTGTAGAGTGCGATGCGTAAAGTAAGCTATGTGAGTTGCAAAATGAAACAGCAGATACGCCGCAGATAAGAAGGTTACTCTTAAAATTATGAAGGTAATGTGTATGTATGCACTGTGAATAGCAAAAATAGAAAGGCAGGATAAATTTTGGTATTAGGTTGATAACCCGTCTCAATCTGATCAAAAACAACATGCTGATATGAATTCGTTCTTGTATATGGAGATCGCTCGATCGAGGAGCTAACCCATTGACTTTTAAGCTTTTCGTCGACCACCCATCTGTTCTCTACATATATAGATTATGTACAGAAAACGTTGATGGATAATTCTCGCTGCATCAGTCACATTCAAGCTTTTTGTATTTGCCAAAAATGAAAGCCATGATTTATCAGTCCGTAATCTTCGACCTGAACATTGGAGGTTGGTTGAGATAGGAAATGCGGTTTCTTTTGAACTCTGGTGATTTGCCAAGATAAATGATCGATAGGTAAAAAATGACAATCTTTAAATTATCGACATGCTCGTTGATCCATATCTGAAATAGCATTGAAATCTTTATAGTAATTCGTGTCCGGTTAGTCAATTAATAAAAGATTTCAGATCAGATCAATGTTGCTACTGCTAAAGCATCAACCATAATCTGTGGACCTTTATTCACTTTAATTATAATATATAATGATATTAATATTTCGGAAAGGCGTGAATGAGTATTAAGGAACATTAAAAGAGCTTCTAAGGAGAAGATTATCCATAATAATTAAGTTACCATGTCAAAATAGTTACGATAGTTAACAATAGCTAAGTTTTATTTTAGCTACAATGAATTGTCTATTTTAATGGTCCTTTGAATGTGTCATGAATTCCATATGGAGTCTTATAATTTCTTTCCAATTCTTTTGTTGGAAGGTTATTTAGTCATGGATATCAAAAATATTTTGTGAAATTTCAAACAGGTCAATTCACAAAGTAGTCAATTCCTTATTTGAATCTTTTGTTGGCAGGTGATTTAGTCATGTATGTCAAAAACATTTTCTGAAATTTCCACATTCAAACGTCGATTCAAACCCCCGAACCCCACCCGGGGGGCCCGCCCGCGCCGCCTTTTTTTTAAAACCAATTATTCAATTATTCTTAATTCCAACTGCAATTATCGTTTTAGTTTCTAGAATGTGAGCAAGGCTAATTATATAAAACCTTTTTAATATCTTTAACCTTATAATTTATATTAGAATTTTTATAATTATAAAAATAAAATATTTAGTTTTATTTATCCTAATATTATTAGTTTTATCGACGGAAGCACGAAAACGATAGACAAAAAAATAATTTCAATATCCCAATGATGTTTTCGATGATGGCAGATGATGATGTCGCTAGGGGTCACGGATGACTATTATGAATGAGGAGGGAGACCAATACGAGATGTGAGCCAGTGATAGATGTCGTTTTACATTTACATCGACATCGCTCGACAATTGTATCGACGTCAACACAAATGTAGAGCGTCGGGATCTGCTTAACTGTCGTGGACGAAGAGTCATGATCCGCTCCGTTTCTCACAAGAATTCGAAATGCTCTATTCCCAGTGTCACACCTTTAAACCCACAGATCTTAACATCTCAACCGTCCGGGGACACGCATGGCAACCATTATATACGCGCCACTGCTGTTGGGGATCACCGCTACCGATCGACTCACTTGCGTATTACTTAAACCATGATTTGTGTGATGTTCACCAATCTTAAAGCAATCGGAAGGTTGTAGCTGGCCCATACCAAACCCTGGCTCTCTTTTTGCGAGTCGTCCCCATCACCCGTCTCCCTCTCTCTCTCTCTCTCCCCGCGGTCAACCCACCATTTTGACTACGCGACTTGCTGTGAAGAAGCGACAGAAACGCAAAGGTTTTGCATCAATTCGCCTCCGCTGATTCGATCGTGTCTTCGATCTCAAGACTCCACCTTTTCCTCCTACTGCGCGATTCCTCGTGTGCTGATATGAATAGTTCCAGCGGTTCTGCCGCTGGTCCGAGCTCCGGATCGGGGGATGGATCGGCTCCCAGGAGGAATTCGAAGCGGCCAAAGTGTAATCTCACTTCTGAGATCTTCTTTTTGCCGTCGTTTCCGTATGGATTCGTTGTTGTTTAGGCTTCTGATAGTTGCCTTATTGTAGAGATTGTTCTTGTTCGGGGAGGTTTTAGGTTTTTGGGCATCGAAATCGTCTTCATCTTCTTTTTGTTCCTTCTGCTCCGTCTTGGGGGTTGTTTTGCTTGGTCCTCTCCTTTTCCCCTTTCTAGTTTGCGATTCTGGATCTCTCCTATGGGTGATATCCTTGTTTGATAGAGAGCGCTACAAATGTTCTTTCACTGATACAGTCGTTTGTCTTCCGTTGGGTACTCAGATTCCAAGTTTACACAGCAGGAGCTTCCAGCTTGCAAACCAATCCTTACTCCAAAATGGGTAACCTTTACGTTCTTTGCTGCTTTTCATGCTGTCTTTGCATGTGGCCAGATAGATGTTGTAGAGACGAAACCAGGCAGAGCAATCTGATGCTGGATCGTGTAGGTGATCTCTGTGTTCACACTTGTTGGCGTCATCTTCGTCCCCATCGGTATCGCCGCGCTTATGGCCTCCAACAACGTATGACGAATGTTGTCGATACCATATAATTCTTATGTATGTCGATGTCTCGTGTGCCTGTTTGTTTCTCACTATGCCTCTTTTCTTTGTAGGTTGTCGAAATCGTGGATCGATATGATACAGAGTGCATACCAGCAAACATGACCGGTGACAAGGTTGCATACATACAGAATGATGATATCATCAAAACTTGCACTAGAAATCTCACGGTAATCAGGCCTCTTAGCAACTATTCATGTAGTGTAGATATGAGGGAGTAGCTTATAAATTTGTTTTTGTTGATCTATGGCAAAGAGGTTTGGTTTCCTGGTGATGGAAAACTTCCTTACGATAGAAGCTTTTAATTTAAGATTTCTGACATGGCTTCTTTTGTCTTAGGTACCAAAAGATATGGATCAGCCTATCTATGTCTACTATCAACTTGATAACTTCTATCAGAATCATAGGAGGTATGCATTTAGTAACCTTCTGAAGTTGGTATTGGCATTTTTCAGTGCTCCTAGCATAATAAATCTTCGCACCATTTGCTTTTGCTCTTTAATGCAATTTTCATATTGCATAAATATCCAAGATGGCTGATTCTGACACCAAAAAACAAGTCAATTTTGATTTCTAGGGAACAGTTTGTCTACAACTTCACTGACGGTGATTTCTGAATCTAGGTATGTGAAGAGCCGAAATGATGCACAATTGAAGGATGCTGATCAAGCAAATAAGACTAGCGGATGTGATCCTGAAAAGACCACAAAAGATGGATCTCCAATTGTCCCTTGTGGTCTTATAGCATGGAGTTTGTTCAATGACACTTACAACTTTACCCTAGGCAACAAAAATTTGTCTGTAAACAAGAATGGCATTTCTTGGAAGAGTGACCGGGATCACAAATTTGGAAAAGATGTCTTCCCAAAGAATTTTCAAAATGGAATTTTACGAGGTGGTGCAAGCCTAGATTCAAATAAACCTGTGAGACTCCATTCTATAATTTCATGCTTTTCATTGGCATCTTATTTTTTAAGCGTGTGTTTAGATTGTGTTGGTTGAAATAGTCCCATGGTAAGGAGACTTAAATCAAAATTGCTAAATTCCTCTTCCGTTGTCATAAGAAGTTTGCAATTGTCACTCCTGAAGGGTAGGTGCTTTGTGTTTGAATTCTTCATTAATACCATTCTTTATTACAAAATTTAGTTATTTCCGAAATACCCTTCTGCTAGCTGAAAGGGACCCATCTCTATCTTGATTGCTTGATGATAAGACTTGGTGTTCCATGATGCTAGAGCTTGGATAAAACTGGTGCAATCAGATTTTTACCATTCTATTTTTTTTTAATTGGATAAAACTGAACCAAGTTTTTACTTACTTTTTTCCAGTTTGAATTGTCTGGCTTCCTGTTATTTTTATTCTGGATCTTCAGTTGGAATCGATTAGTGACAATATGTTTATTTTAAATTCATTCATACTCAGTCTTGAGCTGCCTATAAGCATCTTCTTTTATTTGCGGCCGATTCACATTCCAGATTAAAGATTTTCTGATCACATGGTATGCCATGTTTTACAGATTTAGATATTGGCCTGTTCTAGTTGCATTGAAGTTTCCCTTGTGATGTCATACAACCGAATAACAACTGATCTATTATGTTTTTTGTATGGGCAGTTGAACAAGCAGGAGGATCTCATTGTATGGATGCGCACTGCTGCCCTTCCAACATTTAGAAAGCTTTATGGGAAAATACATCAGGATCTTAAAGCAAATGATATTATAATGGTGACACTGGAGAACAATTACAATACATATAGTTTTAATGGCAAGAAAAAATTGGTGCTATCCACCTCAAGCTGGCTTGGTGGGAAAAATGACTTCCTTGGCATAGCATATCTGACCATTGGAGGGCTATGCTTCTTTTTGGCCACAGCCTTTACAGTCGTATACTTGGTGAAACCTAGGTACACTCTTTTACTGAATTTCACCAGACAAACTAATCTTAGAAGAAAAATGTTTATCGGACAATTCCAGTGCTGTCTTGGAACTTTAAGTCTAATCTTAACTTTGTGAAATCTGAATTCTTGAGTGACTTTTAAAATTTATGTTTGTGCTCATGGGCTGCCATGTCTTTTTATTTTGCTCTGGATACATGCTGATGGCTGTTAATTAATTAATTTTGTAGATTGAATTTAATACTAAATTGTTTCTTCTGTTAATTGAAAACAATATTCACATTCTTAGGATTTATCGTATGAATGAGCTCATTACTGCCTTCAGCTTTCAGTTATTAACTTCAGTAAATGTACATTTTTGGAAGTGCCTATTTCTTGAAATAACTTCCAACCTCTTCACCAGGTATTGAGTTGGATATTAATAGTGTTACTTTTCTTAAGTTGGTCATCTTTTGAGTATTTACTCCTGATAGAATGGCTTGGCACAATATAATACGGTACCATAGTGAGCTATATACACCAGGCATCAAACCCCATCAAAGTAATTGAAAACTCTATCAACTCTCTTAATATCATCAGAAAGCCATTATGCAGTTGTTTCCCTCAGAGCTTTTCGCTGTGTTCCATTGTATGCATGTTTGATACACAATTCCCAACATTTGGTACTGGATGAAATGACATTTTCAAGCATCACCGGGTATAGATGTCACTAGAATTTCTACTCCTTTAAACATGTATAGACTACTTTTAATGTTCTTTCCCTGATTGTATTTCAGAGTACTATCTTCATCTGTTACAAAGATGATCATTTGCTGTTCTTTCTGTTCTTATTATCATACTAGATATTCTTCTGAAAATTCGTCTTTGCAACTTTAACCTTTAAACACTAGCAACTAAGAAGAGAATGGAAAAGATTAACGGGTTGAATGATGTATGCTCACATCTATAGGCCACTATGTTGTATTGTATACCATAGCGATGGGTTTGTTGACTCTTGTACTTCAAAACATGGTGTTAATTTATGATGGTTATTTGTTGTTTGCTAATTTACTTGTGGCCATCTTGCAGGAAGCTTGGCGATCCTTCATATTTGTCATGGAATAGGAATCCTTCTGGGCACTAAAAGCTTGCAAGCTTGTATAAATATACTATAAAGTTTTTGCATGTATTAGAAATTAATATACTGTTGTACACGGATATATGCTTTGTGTTTCATCTATGTTATGGTGTTCTATCAAAAAACCGAACATGACTAGATGATTAGCTTAGGGTTTTATTGAACTTCTCATTCCTCCTATAGTTGTTCTTCACAATCATAATTCCAAACTCCAACCTCTTTATGTGGATTAGGTTGCCAAGGAAAACATTGGCCTGATATGTCCACTGTTTTCGATTCATTTAGAGTAGACTGACATTTTGAAGGTTAGTTTTTTTTGCATCAGGAGAAGAGTGCTCCTTTGTGATACGGGATGATTAGGGTTCGAGTCATGAAAATAACTGTGGTTTGTTTGTTCAAAGCTTTATGCATTGAGCGGGTGTTTTGTTGAGGAGGAGGATATGCATCAAAGGTGGCGTCTCTGTCTTCTCTTACACTTCCTTGTGTATTGATATTGATGATGCCTCCTTGCTCATCTCCTCTAACTCGGCCTTTTATGTCGGTTTTGCAGGTACCTTCTCCCTCTTTTTTTCTATGCCTCCTTCCGTGTGTCTAAATACTTGAAACTTCAATTCGAATACCTTCTCCCTCTTTTCTTCCTATGTTTCCTTTTGTGTGTCTAAATACTTGAAATTCATCTCCTCTAACTCGGCTTTCTATGTTGGTTTTGCCAGTATCTTCTCCCTCTTTTCTTCCTATGCCTCTTTCCGTGTGTCTAAATACTTAAAACTTCAATTCACCTTCTCCCTCTTTTCTTCCTATGCCTTATTCTTCTGTGTCTAAATACTTGAAACTTCAAACTACACTCACAAAAATCAGTTCAAGTTTGATATTAATGATACTTCCTTGTTCGTCTCCGTCTCTTCCTCCTCCTCCAACGTGACCTTTTACGTTGATGTTGCCAATACCTACTCCCTCTTCTCCGCCTATGCCTCCATTTGTGTCGATACGAAACAGGTTCATATCAATACAATCAAAACTACTCCTAACTTCAATCCACAGTATGAAAATCAAATCATGCATTGATCACCGTCCGAGTTTGATGAGGAGTTGAAGATTTGAGGAATCAGCAAGACCATATAGGTATAGAAAGAAAAAAAAAAACAATTAAAACAAGTCCCTATCTACTCTATAACACACTGCTGGATCCAGGATTCATATTTTTTACACCCTGGATGATACAATATATACAGACCGGTAAAGCGGTATATAAATTTTTAATTACCACCTGTTTCATTGATATCACGCAAATCTGATAGAATATTAAAATTAACACCGTATCATATAAAGTTTGTCAACCATACAAGCTCAGATGTTACACCATATATTTTAAAATAGACAAGTCTTGCACAAATAACAGACGCTGAAAACACAAAATTTAATGAGCATCAGCTGCAAATCCAAGACTTGCCAGAAATGAAACTCAGGGCCAAGATCATCCTGTTAGTTTAATCATCATCAACAACACGAATAATATGTAGGAAACATGCCAGATCCATATCATCCTCTGAAGGATTCATCCTCCTAAATCGTGATCTCACTGGGTGCGTGGAAAGTTCTTCCACGGCATATAGCTTCGAGGTTCTCCCCAGCGTAGGAGCAAAGTGGAGAGATTTCCACACCTGCAAGAAAACATGTCTATCAGATAGACTAGTTCCAGCATCAACTGATTTAGGTTTATGAATTGGAGTTGGGTATTGCATGATTAAAATTTCCTACAGCATTTCCTTATCAAGCAGTAACATGAATCGCTGCAAGAGTAAATGCTGCAGCGATAGACGTTGAGAAGATTACCAGTTAGGTATAGAGGCACTGAATGTGTCAAAAAGCCACCAGCTGCAACTACCCAACGACTGTGGAGGCGAAGAAGCATCAGTCGAGCACTGTCGGGAGTATCATAACTTGCTCCATTGGCATTCTTGACGGGTGCAAATTCCTCCTCCCTCGGGACCTGTCTTACCAAATCACCATGTGTAAATGAATCCAAGACAAATATCATTCAATAAGCAGCGAAAACAATCCAGACAAAAGATATGGGAAAAACAAAATATCTCAAGGACTCAAAAAAGTGATTCCATGACAAACCAACCTCAAAAAGTGCCATTGATGGAGCATATGCAAATGCATCAAAAATGAACTGCTCCAGCTTAAATCCAATAGTTAATCCATGGATTGAAGGGATTTTCTTCTCAGCCAGGTGGTAACTGCATTGCAAATGTGAATTTAAGCTGCTGAGGATATGATGTTGAAGTGGTTAATACAATGTGATATTGGTATTTAACTAATGAATCAATAACTCCCAACAAAAAGTGATATCAAGATGTCAAACAGCTTTACCAGAAACTTAGAGAAGCAGGTCTGTATAGAATAGAATACCCATTTTTAACAAATGATGATTACATCAATTATTATCATATATGCAGCCCATGTGAAGAATATAATGGTTCAAATATAGGCATCAGTTTAAATCTTAAAGCACTAAACATTATTAGATAGTTAAGGCAATCCCACTGTGTTTCACCATCTATGGCATGTCCGATGGATCAAAAACTCTAGAAAGAGTCCACATAAAGCAACATAACCCACAACATAAGTTGATAGTGTAACAAAAACAAACTCTAGATATGAAGTGGAAACTATCTGAAATTACAAGAACCTAAAAATCTTGCCAAATATAAGAAAATCATAGTGAGAGATACGGTAAAGTCACTGAAAAAAATACGAAGAAAAAATTGTGAAACTATTAGATACGGATGTTAGATATGTTCCCTAAAAGAAAAAAAAAGGAAAAAAAAGAAGTAGGTTCCTTCTAGATTCCACCTTGAAGTAGTCAAAGTAACAAAATGAATTTATTAAGGGCTTACATGCTGTCTTTTTCAAGGCCATTTGCTACTTGATTCAGGAAATCCAGGGTGAACATATGTAGGCATACCTAATACATGTGCAAAACACAAATGATTAGCATATGATCATCTACATTATCGTAATTGTGATTTGCTAACAATTGAAGGCGTAATGAAAATTGATAATAGCAGAAATAAGAAACAACACCAAGATCATATTGGAAAGACTACTAGAAAAAGAAAACTAACACATGCACGATAAATAATATCTAGCTGATCAGAGAGTTAACTTATATTCTGAAAAAAATAATCCTTTCCTTCAGGTACAAAACTAGATCCAGAAAAGTTAAGAAGACTAAAATCATAAAGTATTAATAACGTACAAGATTGGTATACTAGAAATAGTTTGACGTAGCATCCATGATGTAGTATCAGTGTTTTCACATCCATGATGGTTTAGCTGTTAGAGCAGCAGTTAATATCATATTGGATTCTCATATGAGGTTGTCATTGCATGTGCCAAATGCAATACTTAATAATTTCTTTGTTTTCATGCATGATATTTTTCCAAGAAAATGCAAAAGTGACAAAGCAATTTTGAGGAAGAATGCGATAAGGAGATTTAAATGCAAAAGCAATAAAATGCAAAAAGTGGCAATTGATTTACATTACTCCAACAATAGCGAAGCCGCCCAGTGGTCTGATTGATCTCAGTCGTCATTGATGCATCCATCTCGCTGTATTCAACCACTGCAAAAGGCCCACCTCTGCCTCTCTGGACAAAGATTCCAACCTTTTCCTGTGGGTAGGCCTGATTCACATGCACACTGGTAAGTCTTTTACTAGCACAGTCAGCACTTGGACAAGACAAATTATTTCAACCAATTATATTACATACAAATGGTACTTTAGCACAGTCACCCCTAATCAGCTGCCACTAGTGACAAAAAGAATTGGCGATGACAACTTACTAAGACTTTTTTGAAATAGAAGTAAATTGTGGATATCATGCGGTTTGTAACATCAGGCCTCAATTAATTAAATCATGTAACTTTCTATTTCTTTGACATCCTACAATTCGAGAAAGTGATGTATGGCATAAGATAAAGCTAAAGCCTTTCCATATAGGCCTTTCATTGATTTGGTTATTGTAAAGACACATCCAAAATCCCTCAGAGAAACTTCAAGCTGACCTTGAAAAATGAAATGTGCCCTTCCCTATCTTTATAGATATGATAAATGGTCGTGATCATATAACATGGACAATAACAACTAGACTAATCATCATCATTCCGAAATGGAAGCTCCATTGAAATTTAATAAATTGCAGAACTTGCCTACTTTGCAGGTGGAAACATCTATCTTTCTGGCTAAAAGCATGCTCAATCAAAGAACAAACCTCCTAGAATTCCTGTATACCAAGAAAAATTCTAGAAGGCAGAACATCGTGATATCATATATTCTCAAAGATACAACGTACAATAAACCACAACATCATGATGCTTCCATTGTGAGTAAACCAATGACAATGCATTAAAAATAACTACTACAGGAGCCACTACATGATCAAAACAATCAATGACAGACCCCTTTAACAATTATTTCAATTTTCAAACACAATTGTCAAAGCTTTTCAGATATCAGTATCATATGTGAGATATCATAACCTGATTAATGTGAGACATCAACTTCTCACCTTCCGTACAACTTTTGCTGCTGCAGCCACACCTTTGTCAATAAAATATCCCAAGAATGCTGGGTCAGCAACACGGACCTGCTCTCAGGTGTTTTAGTAAAGATAGATGGAAGGTAGTTCATAAATAGCTAAAGGAACATCTGATCTCACCAGCACATTATCAACTCCATAACAATCTACATATTTCACACCTCTCATTGCCATATCTTCCAGTAATTTTGAAGATTTAAGAGCTGTAAAAAGGATAAATCATATAAAATTTAGGAATCTGAGAGATCAGGAATACTATTGGCAAATAGCAAGCAGTAAATCTAGAAAAACATACCAGAATATAATCCTCCATTTCCATCAGGAGCCCTTGAAACCTGGGTTTACAGAAAAAGACTTATGACTTTTCATGCAATCACAAAATTGGCAACATATTAGAAAGAAAGAAAGCTGATGTGTTTATGGAGTTCAGTACAATGGGAAGTCAACATATTAGTAATAGTTTAAATAAAAATAACAACAACAAAATCATAAGTCCTAACTTTGTGGGGTTGGCTATATGGATCCTTTGTCACTATTGAGATATGTAAAAGATCATATGTTTGATTATGTTTAGAGTATTTAAATCTTTATATATTTCTATTAAAGTCTTTTTATATCTTCCTCTACCTCTCATCTTACCACTAACATTAATTATTTCGCTTTTTCTAACTATCACATCCATAGGTCTTTTAAGCACATACTCATACCATCTTAACCGATTCTCTCTTATCTTATTCTCTATTGAAGTAATACCTAGTTGATCAGTCAATGACAAAGAAGAGATAGAAAAAAGAAGAATAAATAACTTGACCAGCCAATGACTTTGATATATGGTGTTCAATTCTCTAAGAAATAAGAAATAGGAAACAATTAAAGTCAAACATGGCATATATGCTAGTTTGTCAATATAGACATACACATGCCAAGTCAACATCCAACTTGTAGTCTCGTTCTACCATCAATGTGGGTTAGGCATTTGTTGCAAAATTTACTCTTCAACTTTGTCACTGATGGTACATGTTTGTCATCTTCATAATGTATGCGACCATGAAATGTATTTTAAGACCTAATTCATTGTTATAGCATTATTGGAGATTTGTTTTTGTGGACAGGGGCAATACTTGGCATTTCCATACTATGGGCTCAAAAACTGATACAACTACCAACAACCGTATCATTTGACTCTTATCACCAAGCTTACTAAAGCACAAGTGGCTATATCTTTCCTTGAATGGCATAACTGTGGTTTCCTGTACCATGCTGGCAACATACCCAAAACCATTGCACCACCGATATTCAAAACCTTGCAATGAATAAGTCCTTGTCAATTCACTTGAGATACAGTGGTTAAGTTAGTAACAAAAAATCCCCATCTTTATTAAGAGAGTCTCAATGATAAATTTTCCATTACATGTGGTCTCCATGATAAATTTTCCGTTACATATCTCCATGAGAGAAACAACATGGAGAAAGACATAAATATACCTTATACGGAGTCTCCATGATGAATCTGCCATCCCCAGAAACACAGGGAAGTGTACCTTGTTGGAAAAATGTCACCTGCAAAAGGAAAATAAAAAATAAAAAGAAGATCAGCAAAATAATTTCAAATGCATAACCTGTTAAGGAAATTCAAGCCTTACTTGATCAGATTCTAAGCCAAAATATTTATGACTTTCGAAGAATTTGCGGGTGGCTTCATCAGTAAATGGACTAGTCATTATGTACCAGTGGATCGGCATAAAACCAGCTGTCCATTAACTAAGAGAATCAGGTTAAGCATACACAAAACATGTTGAAAAAGGTACAGAAAGTAAACCTTACTGTCGTTTGACTGAGATGCAAGTTTTTGGATGCACAAAATTCTTTCAGCCTGAAGTTGAAAGAGTGATTTTCCAGATGGAAGTCCAATATCTAAAGTAAAAGATAATAGGGCAAAATATCAGTCTGCATTTCCATTTAGTCATACAGTAGGAGTCCTCCAACTTGAAACCCAGAATTCTGAAGTAAATTCCTTATATGAAGGATAACATGGAAATCTTGCCAGCAAAAGAAGTTCAACCATCGATGTATCAGTTTGACATATTAAGGTAATTATAATTCCCTTATAAAATATTTTTAGATGCAAGAACTCTGGGTTCATGTGTCTTCATTAAATGCCATTAAGGCTTGTGCACAAGGCACTCAGGTTCTCCCATACGATTAACCACTCCTGCATATACATAGTAGATCTAGCCCTCTAGACAATGTTCAAGCTACAATTCAAAACAATTTAAGGTAAATAGGCACCAATTGATTATTTTCCCCTATTTTTGTGTAGTATATAAATTATAGAAAACTTTCATGACTCAATCTGATAGACTTTTTAGTACAGTCCAACAGAGGCAGTACACTAAGAATGACAGCATTATCGTTATAAGAATACTATTAGTAGACCAATATAGAATTAGTAGATCAGTTACTTACTGAAACATCCCTTCGGGTCTGAACTTCCAAGACGAGTGCCCTGTGACAAAATTGCAGAAGAAAAAGACCACATGTGTAAGACTTCCTGCTTCCCGCTAAGGTATAAATAAGGCTTCCTATGTCCTAGTAATAGGAAAATTTAACTATGTATACAACTTTCTGATCAGCAGCATTAATCCCAGTAAGAATAAAGGAATTACTAGCACCATCCAAGAAGTCATATTTTAGCATCTCTAAAGACTTTATTGCTGATGAAAACGATCCATGTAGTGTTTTCATTAAATTTCAGAGACTACTATGCTCTAAGCCCTTAAATTTGACAGTGAATTCACATCAAGTGATTGCCTGCACATTTTTTTGTCATTTTTTATTCGACATGACAGATTCAGTCAACATTTTTAGGCATCTTGCAATAGATTAATCAGTTTCAATTATCTCAATTGGGTGATTGGTTATAGTAGCCGGGAAGTAGACAACAAATTTGAGATCATAAGAATTTTGCAACGAAGAAGCACGAGAAAAGAAAATGAGATCCACAAAATCGTAAACTTTTAAATTTTAATACAATCATGGAATGATCATAAAGATAATCGGAACAACTAAAACGAACAATAAAAACATGGAGTAACCAACAGAAAAACTATGATAAAAATGAAACAAAAAGATAGGGGTATATATTTCATGTAGTTAGACAAGATCTACAATATAGGGAGAATGGAAGAATCAGGATATGAAAAGCTTGCACTGTTAATGACTCCACCTAGTTGGTTCCGTAATTTCAGGAATATTTTGCATGCTTGTAAATACGATTAAAGTGCTACGTTTGCAGTGGGATCTTTGATGATAGTTGCAGAAGGCAAAAGTCCGTCAAGTTTAGATGGAGCAAAGAACTAGTGAGCATAACCCAAGTTTGTTGAACTTAAGTACCTGTCCGCCGGAAAGAAGTACCACAGCTAACTTTCCTTCTGAAATAGCCTTCAATCCCCTCTTCCACCACCTCTCTCTTTCCTCAAGGCTTCTTGCTTCCACAGTTGAAACACTAGCCTCCGGTACGGGCTCAACAGCAGGCAACGGCAGGCCTAAATATTTCTCACCCAAAATCAACAATTAACATTGAGAAAAAGGATCTGTTCGAGATCCAAGAATGAACAGATTGCAAGTCATTGGACAGTTTAAGCAACAGTCTGAAAATACTCACCTTGAGATCCAAGTGAACATCGAATGATCCGATCGATTCTAGGAAGATCTAAGCTCTGACAGAGAACAAGCAGACAGAACTAGGTGATCCACAAAGACACAACCATGAACCAACATGTCAAGAACTAATCAAGAGACCCAAATGAACCAGAGAATACCAGATTTTCCAGATCAAGCACAACTAACGCTATACGTGTCACAAGAAAAATCTCACTTTTATAAGAATTTTAGTTAAAACCACGAATCAGGAATCTCCGTTTCGTGTACAAGGAAAGGAAAAACACAAATCTTCGAGCGAAAAACCACATGGAATTCACCGCAAACCCGCATTTCTTCTGTCAAGAGCCTACTGTAGAAGCAGCACAAACAGATTCGAAGATCCAAAATAGCAATAAAGAGCCAACCGGTAATGACAAGAATAACCAAACCTCGATGTCCTTCACGAGGAGGTTGCGCTCCTCCGGCGAGAGCTCGTCCCAGAAGGCGAAGGCGTCCTCTTGGCCGTAGTCCTTGAGCCTCTCCAGCAACGCCTGCGGAGGCGGCGGTGGAGGCGACGGCGTCCCCCTCCGCCCCACATCGGATCCGACCACTATCTCCTTCATTCCTCCTTCCACCGAAACAGAGCAAGCCGAGAGGAGGCAGAGGAGTTCGAACCGCCGAGACAAAGGGGCAGAGGGTGCACGTTATATACCCTCGTGGCTTGTGGCCAACGCAGAGGCTTGCGCCGCTGAAGCTCACGACAGCCGAGTCCCTAAACAGCCAATACATTCCTGACAAGCAGGGAAACACAGAGCGGGGCCCACTTGACAGGACCAATGAAAAGAAAGAAGAGAGACGGGAGCAAACATGGGATCAAGAGACCATGCCTAGTGACTGAGGGAGGGAGGGATCAGATCCTGGAAGCGAATGCGCTTGCAAGTGGCCTTTTGTTTTCCCTTGTAGCTGAAGGGAACAACTCACTCACTTTGCCTCCTTTGATGATGTAAAGGATGAACAACCAATGATCCAGTAATAACTATTGAGGTTGAGGTTTAGAGAAAGAATAATGGTAATAATAAGAAAGTTCTTGGCTTCCTACACAAGTAATGAATTGCGTAATAATCTCTCTTTTTTTCTCAGTGATGAAGACACACCATCAAACAGATTAAACCATGTTCATCAGGTAAAGGTTTGAGCTTAGATATTGGTGGCCAATACAGATTGATCAATGGTTTAATAACTATCCATCCATACACCTCACCAGCATAAATGAATATGCTCAGCTATGTCAGCCTTTTCCTTGTAATCATTGTGTTCTACCTATGTGTGTTATAAATGGAATCAATGCCAAAAAAGGAGTTCAACATCTGTTGTCTGACACATCTTGGAAGAGAAGCAATGAATCTAACCTTTGATTGATCCAATGACATCACTGTTGATGAGACTGACTTTGAGCTGTTAAATGGAAGGAATTCAGCAAAACATCATCACAGCAGTGAAGGCATTCTTTGCTGAACCTACCAACCCAGCACTTGTTTGGGTGAGTGCTCAAGAGTTCATCTGGCTACAGGAAGGGGGGTGGTAGAGACAAGGCATGGTCCATCAAATAGTTGGATTCTCCTCCCCAACAATCCAATTATGGAGATGACCCCTACCACCCATTAGGTTGTCTGCACACCACTGTCTCTCAGCCTGTAGGGTGGGTTATCTCTAAGGAAAAAAAATACATCAGAAGAAGAAGTGAGAGGAAAGAGATTGATTTCCTGATTGTTTAGTAGTAGTCATCAGAATCATGTTTTCTGTATTATGATGTGGATGTCTCATCTTTCTTCTAATTTTAGTTGTCATTCTGTATTATGAGTTCTCATTCTCATCAGATGCGATCTAACATAGATTCCACTAGTCAAATCTCTAATCCCCTCTCTTATCTTTCAGATGCGATGTAGTGTTTCTCCTTGATAGTTCAATCATCATATAATTTATATATTAAGAGCTTGTAGAGAAGAAATAGTTCGATTCCATCAAAATATGATAAGATCGATTTTAAATCTAATGGATAAATATCCCAATTTAAATCAGTGGAATAATCTGATAATACGGAAGAATACGACTCCGCCGCCATCGGTTCGTACCGGCCGCCTCAATCCAACCTAAACAGTTGGCCGTTGACGACACCGCGACGATAAAGTCACCATATGACCTTCGAATGACGTTATATTTACGTTGGCTGCCATCCTCCCTCGACACGTGGACCGCGCCCGTGATCGCATACGCGCCCATCGTCGTCTTCTCTCTCTCGCTCTCGTGTCGCCCGTCGCTCTCTCTAGGGTTTCACAAGAGGCCAGGCCGAGGCGTCCTTCTCCTCCGCGCAGGTAAAAGAGAAAAAGGAAGGAACTTGGATGGTCTCTGGTCGAATTCCGGTTACGTCGTTGCCTCTTAGTTTGTCCGATCTCTGTGGCTCAGCGTTTCTTGGCATCCTGGGCGGTGTTTCAGGGATTTGATATGCTTTCCATCGAATTTTGGTTTTCACCTCTCAATTTGTCACTTTGAGAGAAGTCCTGACTTCTATCGTGTCTTTGTTCAGACAATATCAAATGCTTTTCCTGCAAGGAATCCGGCTTTATGGTAGGTGATGGATTGAGCATCGGCTGTGACGAGCCATGTTCGTTTGTGCTTTGTTTGTCTCCGCGTGAAGTGCCAAACTCCTTTTTCTGGCATTTTAATTGTCTTGTTTCAATTTCTCCATGACTTGCTTCTTAATGGAAATGAAGATTGTATGTCACTTAGGGCTCAATCTTTAGAGTGAGAATGTATCCTAAGTTCCTAATTATGGCTGCAAAGTTTCTCCCGAGCTTAATTTCTGTATGTCCCTAATCCTAATTCTTCTTTAGAGACATTTGGATTGTTTGTGAAGGCTTGGACTTCGTGTAAAATTTTGCTTAGGTGCTTGGTGAACAATATGGAATCATTCCTTTCGGTCCACCCGAGTGATAGATTTCTGAACGTGCCCTTCTTCAGTTCAATTAAGTCTAACAAGGTCCGTCAGCATGAAGTGCGGATATCTAAATTAGGGAGTGGGCTAAGAGTTAGATGTGGATGAGTTTAGTGGTAGCTCCCCTCATAGCAGCTGCAGTATCTAAGAGTTGATGTAGCAAAACTATGAAGTAGATGAGAAAGAGGTGGAGCCTGTCAAAACATAATAGTGTTTCCTACCATTGTTTTTTTGACAAGAATGGTTACAACATGACTTCATTTTGCTTTTAGATTTGATTAACTGAACTGGACGGACATGACCATCCAATACAAGGATCATAAATAGAATTTCCATTGCCTGTTTCATAAGAGCTTGACTACCAAGCAACTGCTTTGGATTAATCAAGGAAGTGTTTTGGCAGAAAATGACATGTAAAATTTAGCTGGAAAGTAAAGTCGGAAAGAGGTAAAGATGGCAATTCTTGGAGACAGTGGGTATCTGAGTAACTGTCCTCTGGCCCAATTGGCTGTAGCTATTCCTTATTTTCTAACTGAAGACTATGTGTATCTTGTGTTTGTTCACGACATTCAAGATTTTGTTGGACAATTTTCTTGCGGTTGAATTCTCTGTCTTGCAAGATCATTATTAATTTTGCCATTATTTTTATGCGACGGATGTTTACTCTTTTGTTGTTACATAGTCTGACATATTGCTCATCATCCATGCTCTTGAAGATTATCTTGTATTATGTTTGACCTGAATTATTTAGTTGTTGATGGCATTGAAGTTATGTTGTTGTAGAATGGCTGGAATTTAGTTCTTCATTGATGCCCTTTAAAAGTTGAACAGGATAATGTTGTCAGATCTAGCTTCTACAGCTACTCATGGTTGCTATGACTAATGAAACATATAATTTTTTGTTGGTAGTCTTTGACTTTATATACAGAGATTTTAACTTTTTTTAAATTTCTAGTCATTTGGATAAGGCAAGTCTTTCCAGTGAGGACCATTAGCTATCCCAAGTTGTATGTGATTGCGGCTGGATCATTATAACGGTGGAAGGTGTTTTATTGCTGCTTGTCTCACAAGGCTGCAGTCTCACATCATATGTGGTTGTTCAGTTGTATTTGGTCATCAGTGTAAGTTGTGGTTTACTGAGTATTACATATAGGAGACTTTAAGAATCACGGAAGTTAGAAAGTGCACCAGGTCTACTGAAGGTGTTTATAATTTATATTACTGGATATTTTTTTTCCAGTATATCTTGTAGGATTCTCCTTGTGTTGCTACTATATTGTCTTAGTTACAAGTGCACATATGAGCTGTCTGGACCAGTTAAAATCATAATCACCAGGAAAGCAGGGTTGTCTTAGTGGGATTATGTATGAAATGGACATGGTGTCCCCTACCAGCGCAGCATTATGTCCGCACAACGTAGTTATGGAGGACAAGAAGCAGGTAGGATCCATGTTTCAAACACCATAACTTGGGATCGATTGCGGTGATGTTGTTGGTATCTATTGGCTGTTCATATATCATTAAATTTCTGAAACTCTTCTCATGCATAAGAGCATCATGACTTTATTCAATATTCTGACTTCTAAATTGTGAAGTGTATATAATTCATCGGTAGGAAATTGCAATTTATTTCTACTCTGGGGTTTGGCTGTCTTCAGGACTTTCCGTATTCCTAATCATTTCTATGATAGCAGTTCTCATTAAAACTGCAATCATCAAATACTAAACAACTTGATTGTAAACTATTGATCGCCACTTATTAACATTTGACATCTTTTTTCCTTTTTCAGTTATGTTCAGCTCAATACTATAGTAGCCAAAACTGTGAAGAGCACTTTGGCCATGGAACAGCCACCTCAACCATCTCAGCCTGTGATCGGAATTGTTTCTGGTGCCGCCCAAAGAGCATATGCTGCTCCTGCCTACCAGCCAGCTGCAATGGTTACTGGAGCTCAAGCAGTAACAGGAGCCATGCCTCACCTGACACAACTTACCTCAGCATATCCTATTAACCCAGTCAATCTTGCAAGCCCGCATCAGCTTGTTTACCAGCAGGTCCAACAGTTCCAGCATCAGCAACAGCAACAACTCCAATCCTTTTGGACCAACCAGATGTCAGAGATAGAACAAGCCGCTGATTTCAAGAACCACAGCCTACCGCTCGCCCGGGTAAAAAAGATCATGAAGGCTGAAGAGGATGTTCATATGATATCGGCTGATGCCCCTGTAGTATTTGCCAAGGCATGCGAAATGTTTATACTGGAACTGACACTCCGGTCATGGATCCACACTGAGGAGAACAAGAGGAGAACCCTGCTGAAGAATGATATAGCTGCTGCTATATCCGGGACTGACATATTTGACTTCTTGGTCGATATAGCTCCGAGGGATGAGTTAAATGGTGACGGCCTTGGGCTTGCAAGAGCCGGAGCTCCTGCCGAGTCAATTCCTTATTACTATCTACCGGCATCACAGATGACAGGTTCTGGAATGAATACAGGAAAGCCTATAGGTCAAACGACTCGTTCAGTGGCTTATATGTGGCAGCAGCCTCAGGCACAACAGTTGCCGGTGCAGCATCTCCAGCAGGCAACCGATGGTGAGTGAGCTAATGTGTCTTCAGGGATCTTTTTGAGATACTACTCTTTAACTTGTCCACTGTATAAATCGTTGGTGCTTTTTAGACCTCAATGCTCTTGCTTCTTTTGCAAGCATTCATCCTGCAGTAATGTTCCTTCGAAGATCAAGTTTGGTCTTTTTATTGTCGCCCTTTGTTTGTTCAGTTCCTCTTTTTATCTCTATTTTTTGTGCGTTTACGTGTATTATTTATGCCTTGTGCCACTCAAGGATCAACCTCAGTTGCAATCTCTTGGTAGGTCGCGAAGATCTAATCGTATTTACTCGCCTATTGATCAGAGATTTACAGTGCTAAGGTCTATAATAAACAGTCAAAGTCCATCCCAGAATAATTCCAAGTGAAGATGAGGAAAGATAGGGTACAAAAGAATCTCAAAGAGCAAAATGAGGTCATAAGTGGGCCCAGTAAAATGATAGTTTTCGAGCTAATTATATATAGTTTTTTATAATTAATTATCTTTAGTATCTCAGTCTTTAGTTATGAAAAAAAATATTTAATCATATTTTTCTTAAAACTTTAAAAAATATTTAATCATATATTTGTCTCACAACTTTATGAATGATGAAAATAAAAAAAATAATTTTATTGCTAAAAAGGTCAAAATCATAAAAGAATAAGAGAAAGTTCTTCACTCCGATTCCACAATCGCTGCTTCATGTTAGTGTTAGTCGGAAAGGAGAAGGTCATAGTATTTATCATGGTATTTGGAGAGGACATCAAATAGGGGGTCGATTGAGTAGCAATAGCAATGGAGTGTGACGTTGGGGAGACTAACATAGTCCTTGATGAAGACGAAGTGGTTAGCCATTTGCATCCGAGAAAATTAGTCCTTGAGCATTGACACCATCTTGGTAATGGCAATTTCTGAAGGAAAATCAACATCGGAGAATTAGATTTGGTGCGACTCGAGAAAGGAAAATCAACATCGGAGAAAATCAACAGTGAAGAAGCCAACAATCTATGCGAAGAAGATTTGGTGCGACTCGAGAAAGGAAGTCGAGGAGAATTAGAAGTCAGAGGTGAGTTGTAGTTTGCGATTCTCAAAGTAGTATCATTGAAAGCTCACCTCAAGGCCGAGGGTCATGTGGATGTGGTGGCATGGTAAAAAGGGGTGAGATCAATGATTGAAACTTCGCCAACAACAACGTCGCGACGAGGTCATTGGAGTCATCGCTAGACTAATCATCCTCCTCCTCCTCCTCATGCGGAGGGAGTACGGAGGGTCGTGGAAGATAGAGGTAGCGATGGTGGATCCAGAGTAGAGACTCTGCTCTTTGACTTTTTTATTAGTGACATTATTTTCTTATCCTTATTTTTTACGTTATTTATGGATGTAGCAACACATGACGTATCTTCTATTGATAAAATCGACGATGTAAAAAGAAATAAGATTAAATATTTTATTTTTATAATTATAGAGATGCTAATATAATTTTTTAAAGTTAAGATCGAGATGTTAAGGATGTCTAACAAATATATAATTAACTCCAAGTTTTCACGTATTCAAGGGCTTGTGAGGTTAAATTAATTTGAATGGATTTGGGCCGGCCCGGTCCGGCCCGGAAGTTTTCCTATCGGCCGACCGCGCTCTTCTCCGACCACTCCCTCACCAGCGAACGATCACATTCCTCCCCTGACCCTTAGCAACCCCAAGTTTCCGAAACCTTGCAAGAGGTAGAGAAAGAGAACCCGAAGACGAGAAAGAATTCCACCAATCTCTCTCTGTACAGATGGGTCGAGCCGCTCTCTCTTCCTCTCTCGTCTCCCTGAGACCAAGGATTCCCGCGGTACCCAAACCTTTTTTACCCAATTCGACGCCCAACAACGCCCTGCGGTTTCCCTCGAAGATTTCGCGGGGATCCCGAACCCGCGCGGCGGCGGTCTCCGAATCCCCCACCGGGAGGTTGTTCCCCAGGGTTGCGGCCGAGTCCACGGGGCCGATCCCCGCGGCGGAGCTGCTGAAGGTCGTGGAGACGGCTGCGAGGACCGGCGCCGAGGTTCTTGCCTTCTCAAGATCCTTTTCTCTTTTCTTAGGTGAACTGCCTTTGAGGTGACTGCTTTGTTTTGGGGGTTTCATGTAACTTACGGAGTTAAGTTGGCTGATGATATTTCGTTTTGCTTCCTTGTAAAGGAGTCTAATTTGTGCTTATCGTAGTCCATTTTATGTCTCTTTCTGGAAGATTACGTTGATGTTTAAGTATGACCCATTTTGTGACCTAATATTTGCTAAAGCTACTACCGTGAATTTTGATTAAAGAAAAGAAAATTATTACTAATTCAAAGTGTATATTTTTCTTCCAACTTTTACGTGCGGTTCTCTTTGCAATGTGTAGCTTATGAGTTGTTTTGCATGTTAAATAACCTTGTAAGTTGCAAATTTTCTTCTGCGCGTGTTTGCTGCTTTGATATGTCGACCATCAATAGGCAATATTTAATAGTACTTTATTTCTAGCTGTTGTTTTTCGTGACAGGAACTTGAACCCTGCTGAACCTTCATTTTGTGTTCCAGGGCTATTTAGAGTCTTGTTAGTTGATGTTGCATGCTTGGTGAATTTTCATGGTCCACTTTTGTGGATTGGTGTCATGACGAAAGCTTGTGATAACAAACTGATCTTTAAAACTGTGATCTGTATTTCCTAGATAGGAGATTATGGTAAATGTTAAGGTTTGCTGCAATGAGCATAGACCATAGTTCTCTTAGCAAGAAAGATACAAAAAGGGGGCCAAAATAAGGTGTATGACATAATTAAGACATTATGTTGGAATGATGAAATTTTATCAGACATTAAGCTGTCAACTTGTTGATTTCTGTAAGTAATTTGCAGTCCTTATGTTTACATAACATGAACAAGGAAAACAGAAACATAAAATTTCTTAGTTTTGAAATAAGGTAAAATAGTGGTATAGTCCTATGGGTCACTTAGTCAAAATGAACATTTTGAATGCTTCGTTTCTTATATAAGCATATACACATATATACATATGTATGTATGTATGTATATGTATACATATGCATATATGTTTCCATATAGTGTAATATATTAAATATGTGTATGTTATCTTTACCTTTGTTTCATCATAAACTTTTTGGAATTTGTTTTTTCTCATTCCAGATCACAAATATTCCATGATGTGGATCATGCCATCTAAATTGGAAATTGCTGCCTTTGTAACAATTTTATATAACACAGGGCCTGTTTGTAAGTACAGGTTTATCTATATTTTGAAAATTCTAGATTCACAAGACATGCTAGGCTGGGTTAGTGGTTTGCTTATGTTATTTCAACCAAGAGAGTGGGCACATAGAGAACCCTATCGGTTAGGAACTATACTATACCTTATATGGGAAAACATCTTGTACATGGTTAATTTTTTGAAAGCTACTGTACGATTGCAGTTTCTGTATATCATCTCCTTTACTGTAATATGTTTCATCTCTAATCTTTTTTATGTTTAAAATTTTTTTTTCCAGGTTGTGATGGAAGCTGTTAATAAGCCTCGCAACATTAATTACAAAGGAATCACAGATTTGGTGACGGAGTAAGAGAAAATAGTTATACACTGTGCTACATAATGGTGAAAGAATGTATATCTAATGTCTTCAATTTTCTTGATCTCTGTGTACTCTTGTGTATCTTAATATTAAAACACTATTTTCTTCAAAATCACTCATGTATGCTGAATGAACTCTATGCTGCACCTAAATAATGTAACTGATGTTTCTTCTCTTGTTGATGTGTGTGTGTGTGTGTCGCTCTTTGTGGCAACTCCTTTTGTCGAAATTTGAAGGTATCTTATTTGTGGGTGCTTTGATTACAAGCATTGAGACAATTTCCTCCTTCCCAACTGATTACTGGCCATTTAGGTCGTACCGGAGATCACTTTTTTGCATCAATAGTTCTCAATTAGGAATTCAGCACCCATATTTTGAGATTTTAGTCAGGTTCCGATTGAAACTTGAAAGTTCCTACTTAGCTTGCTTGACTTAGAGCTGTGTATCAATAATTGAGTTGAAAAGACTTGGATGTTAGTCGACGTGAAATACTTCTCTTTTCAGATATGTGTGGAAATTGTGTCTTCTTTGGGTTGTATGTTTAGTTATCACAAGTTAACATATGATTTTCACGGTCTTAGATGTTAATTAGCAAATTTAGATTCAGGAGAGTTTGATCATTTACTCTCTGTCTTCAGAAGTTGGAAAATTAATTTAAAACTTGACTATACCAATTTCTTAGTTCTGGCAGATACATATGTTCATTTATATGAGATTTTGGATGGTATGGATTAAATTGTAGGGGCATAATTTTGGCTTTTAATGAGTGAGATATATTTTTGAATCTTTCATGCATAGAGGTCCTTTATATCATATCTTTGTATACCTTGATCCATAGAACTCATCTAAGTCAAAGACATTGTTATTTGTCTCTGACAGCTGGAGTATTTCATTGCACACCACTAGCCCAAAGTTTTGGCCTTACCATCCATGCCAGCCTTATGGTTTATGTTAAGGAAGCCCTTTAACATACAGTGCTCTCAGGTTCCACGTCTCTTCATTATGCCCTTTATCATTCTGCTAAAACCATCAATCCCCTTCCTGTTGAAAGCAATATATTTTTTCTCACATATTTTTTAACTTCTTAACTAGTAAGGTCCATATTCAAGCCATTTTTATTATACAAAATTTTAGCTCAGGAGTTAATGTTTGTGTTTCTTGTGGGTGGATTGTTCACATCATTTTTTTATATCATGTGTGGTTGGTGTAATTTATTTATTCAATCACAAAACCCTGGACTTTGTTATTTTTAGCTTGTGTAAAAAATATGTTACTGGAGGTCATTGTTATGATTTAGTAAATTTCTTATAGTAGCACAGAATTATCTCAGTTTTGCAACTGCCAGGACTCAATTAGTTGGCTGTGAGCTTTTGTGGTATTTCATTTATGCATTCAGTTTGCCAGCAGACAATGGAAATATATGATTGCCAATTAATTGCTTGAGGATATACCGTACTGCTAGCACATGTTACTTTTCAACTAAATCTCATTCACGTATAACCAATTTCCTGCAGCACTGATAAATTGAGTGAATCAGTAATTCTGGAGGTAGTGAAAAAGAACTTTAAAGATCATCTTATACTTGGTGAGG